ACCAATATTGTTGAAATTCTTGTGATAAATAAAGTGTAATTTAGTGGGCTATATGCATATTTTTCTTTTCCCAATGTAAGTTGGAACTCGCAAAACTTGATCTCTCTTATCATCTCAAAGGAACTACTCATGAATTTAAATGTCTTCTTCATGACATTAGCCGTCTTTATTCTTTTTTTTTTATCTTTTTTTATTATTTCATATCTAGATTATGTAATGTTAATATCCACTCACTTGCAAAGTTGGCTATATTTACTTTGAACAAATCTTTCAGTTATTACAGTCTATTAGATCGGCTCGGGGTCTTTCAGTTATTACTTATTCTGTAACTTTCTCTTTTTTTTTTTATAAGTTAGCTAAAAAAGAAAACTCACCATATAATTTTTCATAATTAATATAGTAGTTCCCTTAAAATATTTTTGTATAAATCTTTCAAATATAGTTACTATTTTAACAAAAATTGAAGCACTTTATTTAATTATTTTGGAATTGTGAAGTTTAATAATTTAAAATCGGTTATATATTAGAGTTACTAAAAAATTAATATTACAAATTTACAAAATCGTTTATATATTAGTTTCTTTTTATTGGTTTAGAAAATATAATTTCTTTATTTAATAAATTATTTAATACGAAAATAAATAATTCCTTTAAATTAGGAAATTATCTGAAAATATAAAAAGGAAATCAATTAATTTTACAAAGACTGTAATTAAATTTATATGATGATGTGGAATGAAACTATTGATTGTTTAAAATTGGAAAAATTACTTAATTTTGGAGATGTTAATGTGGACCAATTAAATCGCGTCTTTAAATCTATGTTGATGCTCTCAAAGGCTTATAGCTTCAACTTTGATATAGTATAGATATATATCTATACTATATATATATATATATATATATATATATCCCAAAGTCAAGATTGGGTCGTTGTAGACTTGTAGTTGATGGCGGGTTTAGATTGCCTCAAATTTTCACAATTTATAAACCCAACTAATGAGCTGCAAGTGCACAGCCGTGTTGTAGTCGGGGTCGAACACGAGGAGGAAGTGTTCTCACTTAACACCTTGTGAGATTGGTTTGTAGCTAGCTCGCAATATGAGATGGTTTTGGACCTAGAATGAGAAAACAAAAAAAGAAATGTGAGTGAGGTTGTAAACAATTTAAAACAAGAGTTAGGCAAAGGACAATCATATGGAGCAATGATGAAAAGATAGTTGCATGGGATGTGTGTAGAGCCGTCTTGAACATGAATCACTAGTGTATGGTCTTTCCACTGTCGTGGCTCCAACCACTATGTTTAAAACAACCTAATATACTCAGCTTTCGTTGGCTATTAGAATTGCAAACATGCATTAAAGGTTCAAGATTCAATTGTTCACAATAAACCATAACTCAGCTTTCGTTGGCTATGATCTATTGCTCACCAAATACTAGTTTTGAGATCTAGATTCAGCACTGTCGTGGTTCTATTTCTCTAAGATCAGATTACTAGATGTACGGTAGAGTAATCATGCATTAAGCTCAAGTAAAGGTGAAGATCCATAAGATAAATCCCAATAAGTTGCAACACAATCAAATCATCACGGCCACCATAGATCTCCTCGGCCTAACTAAGAGATCTACTCGGCCATGATGCAAACAAGCAAGCAAAGCATGATTGTAAACATTATGCAAGTATTAAAAGAGATAAAGGGATGAAGAAAGCTTCTCTATTGATGAACAAAGTCGGATTCTCCCTTGAAAACTCTTAAATCAAGTTTATAGAAATGGAAACAATGAAAAAGAAAGAACAAGAGTTGAGCGGCGCCTCCTTCTTCTTGGACGATCTCCTAGGGCTTCTCTCTCTGCTCTCTTCTCACACGTACACTCTTTGATAATTTTCGGACTCTCGACTCTCTTCTTCAGCGGCTAAAAACATGTATATATGGGCGAAGTCGCGTAGGGTTTTCTTCATGCCGGAAAAGGAAAGTTTCCCGCGAGCAAAGCCTTCTTCTCCACGTCGTGTATGGGCCGACATTGTACCAAGGAAAGCTCCAAACATTAGCCAGGCCTCTTCTCTATTCGATCAAGGCCTTTGGCGCTGCTGCTCGGGCCATTAGACACTCCAAATCCTCCATGGGCTTCGTTTGCTCGCTTACCGGACATGTCTCGGTAGAAAATAAGTCTAGGCCTCATAGTTGATCCAAATGGCTTCATTCCACTTCGACGTGATGCATGACTCAAGTATCTATCTTTCCATATCAAGATCGTAACTTTTGGACGTCGGGAACTCCTCCGCGCGCGGCCAAACTTCCGAAGCTTCGTTCTGCGCGCTAGCGAGAACTAACACTTGGAGATAAAATGATCTTCTTGACTTGGAAACTTGCATGGATCTTGATTTAGGGCTCTTTTACTCCTTTTTGCATCCTTTTTGATTATTTCACCTACAAAGACTTCAAATCCCACAAATACAAGAAAACTACCTCTAAAGGCAAAGAATCTTGCAAAAACCGTTTGAAAACATAGTAATTATATAGTAAAATCATGTAAAATATGGTGATATCAACTCCCCCAGACTTAGCCTTTTGCTTGTCCCCAAGCAAACTAAGCAGGAAAAGAGGTTTGAAAACGTGAGAACTCTCAAATCTTTTGGAAATCCAAATTGACTTATGCTTTAGTAATCCACATGAAACAGCATTGGCAAGTTTTGAATTAAGAACAAAGTACATACCATGAGTTTTGCGATTTTCCCAAAGCGGTCCACCTCTCCTTGGACAATCCAATTCGCCACCCTTGACTCCTTTCATTTCTAAAGGTGTGGTCTCAACTAGGGAGTATCGATCAGCCGGCTTTTAGATCTTTCTCATCCCCTTGTTTGGCACTTGTCTTTTACTCCATGTTTCTCCTCTCTCTCTTCTCACTTCTTTGAGTTGATTCATCCCTTTTTTAGGGTAGCGAAGTATTTTTTTTATTCAACTCCTTCTCTTTATTATAGAGGTTTTGCTTGGATCTTCCACAGACGCGAGTATTGATGGTGTTTGCCACCGAATCCCCGGTTGCTTGGATTCATAGGCCTTCCATAGACGCGAGTATTGATGGTGTTTGCCACCGAATCCCCGGTTACTTGGACCTTACGCTTTTTCTTTAAATTTGAAGGGGAGAGAGAGGGAAGCACGAACTCACTAAGACTTTTTCATTTGATGGAGAGGATGAGGAATCATGCCATTTGTATGCCAAGCCCCTAGCTGAGAAGATTAAGTTCATTAAGGGCGGAGTCAAAGATGGATCCTTCTCAAGTCTTTAGAGATGTAGGCGTTTTTGGTAGATCGATCAACTCATAGTGCACCTGTGGTAAGATGTATTGCCAAGAACTGCTCAATGGTCACTTAAACATTAGTACAACATGGTTAGATCCAAGATAAGGTCATGATTCTCGACAAAAATTTTGACTCAATAAAAACGACTCGATAAAAGGGAAAAATGCAAATGAAAACGCCAAAATGAACAAACATTGTTAGTAATCCCCCCAGACTTAACTTGCACCGTCCCGGTGAAATCAAATCGGATTAAGAGAGGCATAACATGAAGTTCAAATGAAAAATTGAAAAGAAAAAGGTTTAGGATGATGTTACCAAATGTCGACCAATTTATAATGAAGATCAGTTCCGGTTTGGGTCATTCTACACTTCTTTAGGCAATATTGGTCGGTGAGTTTTTAATTTCAGGCCTTGGTTTCCGCCGGTTTGTGTTTTGGCCGAGATTGGTATATTCGGTCGGCCAAAATGTGGTGCTGTGAACTACAGAACAAACCGTCAAAATTTCATGACCTATATTGAAATTTCATCGACCAACCTGGTATTTTATGCCTCTGGTGAAGTTTGGGAGCATTTGTACGAGCGGATTGAGACTTCCTTCACAAAATGGTCAAGTCGGCTCCGGGAAGGAGTTTCCTTGGCCATGTGAAGTTTGGCTCGTTCCTTTTCGTTTCTTCCTGCATAAAAGTGTTAGTTAAGCTCAAAGAAGAGTTTTCCAACCGGTTGGCGCGCCTATGCCGTGATTTGGTTTTGTCGGCCATATTGCTTGCGCGCCATCGGCCAGAATGAGCTCCGTCGTCTATCTCATGATCCGTGATGATTTCTCCGTCCTATCTTTTGGATTTGCCGACCAAATGTGATTTTATGGTCGCCTGTGAAGTTTGGTGGACTTTGGTCACGCCGTTTAGGAGTTGGCCGTAATTGGTCTCCTTGTGCGCGGTATGGCCGAGAGAAATGTCCCGGATTGAATTTCTTCAAATCCACTCGGGCCAATTGAGATTTTCTTCGACCGAATTGTTTTAATAACCCTCCTGTGTCATTCCCAAGTGGTGGCCGCCTTGTTTCGTGTGATGGCCTATGTATCTCCTTTTAACCTCCCTTTGGCCGCCATATGCATGTTGGTTTTAGGTGGTTATAGGTTTGCTCTATTTCTCCTTCCTGTCAAATGGTTAACTCCTTGCAAAACACTTGAAATCATGATTAGATGGTTTCTCAGATTGTGATCCTCAAGTGACCAACTTGAAGTTCACAATCCAAGAGATTAAAGCACAAACTATAAATTCTTATTTGGTCTTGGTTAATGATCCAAATTTCAAACTATAGTTCAATCTCTTGTAATTTCAGTGAGCAAATGAGTTTTGACAAGTGATTATGTATTCTTTCCAATCATCAAAAGTAAATCAAGTTAAACCATGAAATATATTTGATAAAGTGCAATGGTTTAAACGATTTTTCAAGTGAAGATCAAGAGTGATTAGAAATGAATACTAGGTGAGAGTTTACTTACCTTTTGGAAGAGAAACGCCTTGTACAAGGGTGGGCTCATTGGGTGGGACACTTCCATTGTTTGGTCTCCTTTGGGTCTTCATCCTAAGAAAATATTTTTGTATTTTTGTTTGATTTTTGAAAAACTCCTGCAAAATAGAAATAGATAGTTAAAAACCATATGGGTTGCCTCCCATAAAGCGCTTTTGTTTTAAGTCATTTAGCTTGACTCCTTTTCTTTCTTTCAATCGTGGTGAAGAGTGGCTGAAGGGCAAAGGATCCCTTTAGCTTCTCCATTCTCCGGTTCAGTGGATTCTTGTGGTGGTGTTGTCGCGCCATGTCATCTCTCACATCATCTTTGAAAACCAATGCCTTGGGGAAAAGCTTCATAGTTCTCTCAAGCTTCTCTTCAATGGATTGGTCACCTTTAAGCTCCGAATCTTTTGGTGTAAAGATTCTTATCTTGTGAAAGAGATTAGGTGCACCATTAGTCTCCTCTTCAGCTCCATACTCGTCAAAGGTTGGAAGTAAGATGGAGTTGATATCTTAAAGACATTTTCATGCCTCGGCTCCAATGTTTTCTTCTTCTCCTTTGGTTTTGGGTAGCGCTCACTCTCTCTTCTTTCTCCATGCAGCATAGCTTCTTTCTTAGGTATGAGAGTGGCTTCTTCTGGTGGTAGCTTGGTCGCACTTGGCACTGACCTGAAATTTACACTTGGGAAAAAGATATCTTGCCGGATGTGGCCAAAAGATAGATGATTCCCAAAGTAGTTTAGGACCGCTCCAGCTGTAGCAAGGAATGGGGTTCCAAGAATCAGTTGATTCCTCTTTGAGCCTTCCCAAATCATGACTTGAAAGTCAGTTGGGACCGATCGACCCCCTATTTCCATCATGACATCTTCAAGCATTCCATAGGTTCCATGCACGATAGATCCGCGAACTCGACTCTTATCTTGGGGCTCTTGAATTCCTTGAATCCCAAATCTTTTGCAAGTGCAAGAGACATTAGATTAACATTAGCACCAGTATCACATAGGCAATCATGGAGTTGAATGCCATTGATACTTGAAGTTATCACAAACTTCCCCGGATCTTCTTGTTTTTGTAGTGGCTTGCCTTCAAGTCTTCTCTTGTAAGCTCTTCTTGATTCCCAACTGTATCTCTCCGGTTTGTGCCTCTCCTTAGGCTCATTTTCTTCTTCTTCCCCTTGAGATAGTGTAGGAACAATTGTGCCATCTATAGATGAGACAACACTACAAAATTTTTGAGTGTTTACCTCATTTTGTTTCTTGGCCGCCTCGGCTGTTTGAGCGATTTGCACCTCAAGCTTTTGAACGTGAGTAGAGAGAGACCCAAACTTGCTGCTTAGATCACCAAACATGTGATCAAGCTTCTCATATAGGTTCTTGGTGATCAATCTCTGCTCCTCCATGTATTTCTTCAAGCCACGTCAACCTTCTCTCCGGTTTGGGTTGGATTTGTTTCTTGAGAAAAAGTGAATGGTTGCTTCACTTGGTACATCCCTCTTGGATAGACTTGTTGTGGCTTGGATTGGTATTGGCCTCCTTGATACGCTCCTTGATTGGGGTAGACTTGGTCATTTGGATTCTCCACATTGTTGCTCCGGTATGATAGGTTTGGATGCGCGCGAAATGGTGGATTGAATCCTCTATTCCCATAGTTTCCTCCAATGTAGTTGACTTCCTCTAGATTCTCTTCAGTGCCATCTCTCATGAAATCCATAAGAGTGTCTTCATTTGTGGCTAGGGCATCTTCAATGGCGTGAACTCCTTGTCGGCTTTTAAGTAGTTGTGAGACCATGTTCCTTAGCTCCGAGATTTGAGCTGATTCTGATGAGCTCGTGGTCTTCACGCTTCTATTGTAGTCAGGGCATGCATTGGCATCACTAGCAGCGAGATTCTCAATCAAAAGCTTTGCCTCCGGCACCGACTTGGTCATGAAATTACCATTGCTCGCGGTATCGAGAGAAAGCTTGTATTTATGATCAATCCCATTGTAAAAGATGTTCCAAAGGTTACCTTCTGAAAAGCCATGGTTAGGGCAGCTTCTTGTGTACTCCTTGAATCTCTCCAAAGCTTCATAGAATGACTCCATTGAATCTTGCTTGAAACCAGAAATCTTGCTCCTTATAGAGTTGGATCTTTGCTTAGTGTAGAATTGGTTCAAGAAAGCTCCCTTGTATTCATTCCATGTTGTAATGGACTGAGGTGGTAAAGATTTTACCCATCTTAGCGCCTTGTCACTTAGAGAAAAAGTGAATAGCTTGCACTTGAAGTAATCCGGCGATACTCCATTAACACGAGTTGTAAATTTTAATTTCGAAAAGCAAGGATGGCCAAGAAAATCAAAACATGTAAATTTTAATTTTTCAAATTATAGCTGACTAAGAGTAATGCTTGGTGAATGTTTAAGGCAACAAACATGGAATATCATCTATCCAGTTTTGAGTATACAATTTGTTCATATGTAAATGAGTTCTTTTAAAACTTAGTCAACAGGTGCTCTTAAATCATATATGCCTTAAGACAGTGAGAACGAGAGATTGAACATTATCTTTAAAAAAAAAAGAAAACACCATTACCAATCTACAGCTGCTTACCTCAATTGTATTAAGCATTAGTCCAAATCATATTCGCAAATTGAAGTAAATACCACAAGGTCCAAACTGAAATACCAAGTGTCAACAACTCTTTGCGTTTACAATTCATTTCATCGACACACTGCACAAATCCCGGGTTACGGCGACTCCGTAATTTACGCTTTCGCTCCCTGGTTACTCTCACCCTCCTTACTCGCCGCTCTCTTCCGCATCCAGCGTCTTCTCACAACCACCATTCGACCTCCTCGCGGTCCGCCGATTTCAGGGCAATTTTAAAGTTCCTCACTTTGCATAGTTTAGTGCCTAAGATTTGTTCCTGTCAAAGTAACAGTCACACGTGGCTATGCTGGGAGCATTGTGGAATATCAGGACTTTGTGGTATGAATCTGATAGTATTTGAGATGGTTTGTGACTTTGTGTCATGGGGCTTTTTGAAACGGGTCCGTAACTATGCTCCACTACCTCCAAGAGTAAGATTGACACTCGGTTGGAAAAAATACGGGCATAAACCAGAGAAAGAAAAACTAATATACAGCTAACGAAACTGAAGCAAAGAGAAGGAAGAGCGATAACTAAAAGAGAAATATATTACAACAAAAAATCCGGACTTGGCTTTCCTCTCTCTATAATGGATGGTGCTCCCGTTAGAGGTATTATTATCCCATCATATGTTCACAAACTCACTCAGACCTTTTTTGTTAGTTTTGTAACCAAGAGCATTGAGACATTGTGCAGGCGAATCGATACCTGTGAGGCTGTTCTTGACACCATACGATCTGATCTGACACAAACGCACAAGAATTTGACTGATATCCTACTAAGGTCAGATATTGATACTCCATGCTTATGTTGAACAGGATATAGTCATCTATGTCAATTCTCATGCGGTATCAGAGTTACAGCTGATAATAGCGCTTTTGTTAGAGTCTCTTCCGTAGATTTAACCGCTGCTATTGAAAATAGATGCTTCACCGTTAGTCCGATCAGAGGGCGTCCTTTTTTGCAGGTAGATGCTAGGCATGAATTTTATCGTTAACGAGGGTTTATTGATGGGTTTTTCCAACTTTGTAGATGCTGATATGGAGGACTATGGATTCGAGAGTATTCCGATGAGGAACAAGAGGAGCAAGACGTTGACATTGAGAATCAGCATTACAACTCCAAAGGTTTCTTTTTGTGTTCGGTTATGTTATTGTATTCTCAATTTCTGCTGTTGATTCAAATGCACCCTCAGCTGCAGCTTGCGTCATCGCAGCAGCATTGGCAACGTTAAAGAAATCTTTCTTTCTCTCTCTCTTTCTACCAAAGCAGATCACACAAGATAACATTTTCTGTATCTGTTTTGGGAGACAGGTGAACAAGGGCGTGTAACACGGTTGCTTCGAGTATACAGTTTGGTCTTGTTGGGATGTCTGAGCACGTTTTCCACCTTAATGGCAGAGTTCAATGCCATGAGAGGAAGTGATCACCCATGGAGAGCCTATGCGTATGCATTTTTTCCACCATTGCGGTTGGAACAGTTATAGACTCGGTCCCTGTTTGGGTTGTAGGTTTCAGTTAAACTTAGATAAGTCTTGTGCAGAGAGTTCACACATGTGAAAATAACATTTGTCCGTAGATAGATGAATGAATTAGATTTAGATCGGTCACAATCAAAGTTTACATTGTGGCATTGTGCAGATTTTTTAAGAGCAAACTTTTATATTATAATGATGACATTAGGAATAGACGTTGTAATAAACCACTAAGTCTGTGGTTTCCATAAGATAAATGAATACGAACCTCTAAAGTATGAGAGGGCACTGAAGGAAGAAATTGTGTCCAGAGAATAGGGTCTGGGATGGGATCCAATGCATTGTAGTTTGTGAGCAATGGAGCAGTTAAGAGAGATGTAAGTGGGTACATGCTTTTCTGAAGAGACAAAGCAGCAGCACCACCACCGCCTAAAGCAACTCCGTGACTCACGACCACCGGTTTCTCTATTTCCTTGCCGTGACTCTTTAGCTATGGTTTCCTTACCGGTTCCTTTTATCGGTTTCAGAGAGCTATGGAAGAAAGTCATAATTGGAATACCTTAAACCAGGCGCCTACACAAGTAAGTGTTAATCAAGGTAGAGGATCAATGCGTTGGAAAATAATTGGCATCCTCCACCGTTGGGTTTAGTTAAGTGTAATGTCAATGCAAACTGGCCTAACAACCATCTACATAGCGGTGGAGCTTGGATTGCACGGGACCCAGAACCATACCAACGTTAACCGCTATCAGAAGTGAATAAAAATAAAATGTCTATGTTGATAAAAAAAATTCAACAATAGTAACAATCATTATTGTATATATGGATCTTTTAACGTTGTTAACATCTTTTTCTCCTTAGCATTAGGAGGTTGATGTTGTTTATTTTTCAGCTTTCATACTGCTCTGTTTCGACATTACTGGTTTTCTTACAATGAAAGTTTTCAGACGATTAAAAAAAAAAAATGAAGAAGAAACTGAGTCATTAGTTGCACTACTTGCGCGGGGTTGTCTGCGGCAATTTTTCTGTTTGATTTTATTTATATTTATTGATTTGAATTATAAAGGTTTTGTGTTAACTTACATGTTTGTATTGTTTAAATATTATGTTTGTTCACTTTTATTAGAACATAGACATGCATTTACTCAACTTTAGAATTTGTAAATATGGTGTATAATCCATATATCGAAATATGGTACACAATCATATGTATAACTTTTTATAAATCTGCTTTGTTGTGGTAGTATTTGAGCATGATGAACATTAGTTATTTTCTATTGTGTTAGTTTTGTCAATATAAATTATATTTTTTAAACAAACATGTTACAATCTTTAAATTTTTCATATATTTTGTTGCAATTAAATCTTATATAACTCGACTTCTATTAGTTTTAAAAAAACATACTCAAACTCTAATTTCTCATTAGCTTTCTACTATATTAGTTAAATTTTATCTATAATTTTTAACTCGTAAACATATTCTAACATTTTTAAATAGGGTCAATCATTTGAATAAAAAAGCTAAATATATACTATTTCAAGTCTTTCTTTACTTCATTTTCATTTTATATTAAAAATTTATTTTAACTTTTAACATCTAATCATCACATATTTTATATTAATTAATTTATCTATGTATTTTTCTTAGTTTTATTTATATTTAAAATGAGAATATACAGTAAAACCTCTATAAAATAATAATGTTGGGACTTTGAAAATTTATTATCTTATCGAGTTATTGTTTTATCGATAAAATAATAATATTATTTTATAAAAATATTCTATAAAAAAAACAAGAAACTTTATAGAAATATATGTAAGTAGGTACACGTAAGGAATCAATTGTGGCTTCGAAAACTCTTCACAACTTTTGACCCCATAAATTGTTGATGCAATAAGAAAAATTCAAGATGAGCTCCAACGAGAATCCAACTTTCATAAAAGACAAACTACATTGGAGTCATAACTACTTTGAAACAACCAACATTTTTTTTTTTTAATAAATATTAATCAATTCTAGCGAAGGTCTTAAAAATAAATTAAATAAATAAAATATCAATAACAAATAAATCAGCTCAGCGGAAGCAAATAATAATTAAACAAGTCTAGCAAAATAATGCAAAACAATAAAACAGTAAACATCCTATCATCCCCCTCTTCAGCCTTGATTCCGCGATCACACAAATCTTTTACCTGCAACACATTGGAATGGAGTTGCGTAAGTATTTAATAAATACTTAGTGAGGCAATCACTCTGCCTACGAGCCATTTACGCAATTTACTAGATATTTAATAATATTTATAAACTCCAATAATTATTAAATACCATTTTCCAATTATTAAATAATTTTAATAATTAAAACTCAATTTCTCAATTATTAAATAATTCTCATAATTAAATAATAATTTTCCATATTTTAAAATAATTAAAATAATACCAATTAATTAAATAAATATTATTTAATTAATTAAATCCGAATTAAATCTATTTAATTCCATTAAACCAATTAAATTCAATTAAACCAATTAAATTCAATTGAACCAAGATAAACCAGAATCAAATCAATTAAATTCAATTAAACCAATAAACCAGATTAAACCACACAAACACACAATTCATCACATGAACAACCAAAATATCATAAAAATAACAATTAAAAACATAAACTCATCAAGAACAACCACAAACCAAATCTAATCTAGCAAATCACGGACCCACAGTCATGCACTCACCTTGACAATTGACTGAAACTGAAGGAAAAAGGAAGGACGATGAACAGTGCCGAATCGCGGATGAACAGTAACCCGTGAACAGTACCGATGAACAGTAACCCGTGAACAGTACCGATGAACAGTACCGATGAACAGTAAAATCGAAAATCTCTCCAAAAACTCAACTTTTCTCCTCTACAGCATCTGAACTCGAAAATTCTCCAAAGAGAAGACGGCTGCACTCTTTAAACTTGATTTTAGGGCTTTCTCCACTAAACCGACCCAAACCAATTCACTTAAATTGAACCGACAAAATTCCCAATTTTTATTTTTGGTTTATGGATGTTACAACTCTTCCCCACTAAACTGGATTCGTCCTCGAATCCCAACGCAAACGTCACAAAGACCACAAAACCCAACCTCGCAAGGCCGCAACACCGGAGATCCTCACTTGATCCCCGAGACAAACGTCATATCTTATGTCATAAACACGTTCCAAGAAAATTTCACTCCTAACTCATCATCCAAACACACCAAACAACTTGTACTGAGGCCCACTTGCACCCAGACAAGTCCACACCGGTCCGCACTGAGGCCCACTTGCACCCAGACGAACCCGAAAACGTCCATACTGAGGCCCACTTGCACCCAGATGAACTAAACTGCTTATACTGAGGCCTACTTGCACCCATATAAGCTACACTCAACTGAGGCCTACTTGCACCCAGAGAGTCTGCCAGAGAACGAAGTCTCCAAAAACATGATGAGTTATTCAGGATCGCAATCCTTAGAGTAAAAATTCCGGAAAATGTCTATAACCATAAGATTAGACCGTCTCACAACCAAAAACTGGTCAAACATGTGTAACATCCGAATACCTTTTCACAACACAAGGCAAAATGAGGAAAAACTGCATCTCATTAAAACTCCAAAATGTATATCGTTACAACGAAAACGAAAATACAATAACACCAAAGCCAAAAATAACAACTGAGGCTACAAAGATGAAATAAGCTCACTCCTCGACCTGCTTGTCGAACCACTTCCTGAACTTCAACTTCATCTTTGCCTCTGGCTCCCAAGTCTCCTCTGTAGAACCACTGCAATCCCACAAAATCCTCAGTAAGGGAATCCTCTTGTTCCTCAGAACCTTTTCCCTCCTCTCTAAAATCCTCATAGGCACTGCCGGCACGGTCAAATCTGGCTGAAGATCCTCTGGAATCCTAGCCACTAACTCCTCTGTAGGATGAAGACACTTCCTCAGCATCGACACATGAAAAACCTTGTGAAAGGCTTTCATAATCTCAGGCAACTCCAGCCTGTAAGCTAATGGCCCAACTCGCTCCACTACTGGAAACGGACCCATAAATCGCGGACTCAGCTTGTTCTCTGCTATGGATCTGTTAGGACCCCTCAACATAGCCATCTTGAGATAAACTCTATCTCCAACCTGAAACTCAAGCTCTCGTCTGCGTCTATCTGCATAACTCTTCTGCCTATCCTGAGCCTCCTTCATGTTCAGCCTCACAACACGAACCTTCTCTGTCGTCTCCTGAACATAAGTAGCTCCATACATGCTGCGCTCCCCCACTTGGGTCCAGCATAGGGGTGTCCTACATGGCCTCCCATACAAAGCCTCGAATGGAGCCATGCCAATACTCGCCTGAAAGCTGTTGTTGTATGCAAACTCAACTAAGCTTAGGTGATCTGCCCAATGGCCACCCCAATCCAACACACACATCCTCAGCAAATCCTCCAAAGTCTGAATAGTCCTCTCTGACTGACCATCTGTCTGCGGATGATAAGCTGTACTCAGATGCACCTTAGTGCCCATCTCTGCCTGAAACGCCCTCCAAAACTCTGAAGTGAATCTGGGATCACGGTCTGACACAATACTAGCTGGCACTCCATGCAGCCTCACAATCTCTCGCACAAACTTCCTAGCCAAGACAGCAGCTCCATCTGTCTTCTTGATGGCCAAGAAATGTGCAGACTTAGTCAACCGATCCACAATCACCCAGATAGCATCGAAAGTCCTCGAAACAGGTAGTCCAACCACGAAATCCATCGTAATCCTATCCCACTTCCACTCGGAATGGGTAAACTCTGCAAAAGACCACCCGGAACCTGATGCTCTGCCTTCACCAAGGCACAAGTGTTGCACTTCGCAACCCAGTCTGCTACATCCCTCTTCATCCCGACCCAATGATAGTACCTCTTGAGGTCATGGTACATCTTGGTCGCTCCCGGATGAATGGAAAACTTGCTCGCGTGAGCCTCTCCCAAAATCTGATGTCTCAACTCCACATCCTTAGGCACACAAACTCGCCCACGAACCAAGATAGTCCCATTCGCAGAGACCTCATACTCAGAACCAGTCACTCTCGTCGCATCTAGCAAACTCTGATCACTCTGCTGAGCAACTCTGATCCTGCTAAGTAGATCCGCCTGATCCACTGCCTCTAAACCCAAAGGCTCATGCGAAATGGCACACAAACGCAAGGTACTGATCTCGCCAACTAGAGACTCCACATCTCGCTCAACTGCGGAATCATACCTCCGTCTACTCAACGCGTCCGCCACTAGGTTAGCCTTGCCCGGATGGTAGTTAATGCTCACCTGATAATCCGCCAAGAACTCAACCCAGCGCGTCTGTCTCGCGTTCATCATCGGCTGAGTGAAGATATGCTGCAAACTCTTGTGATCCGTGAAGACCTGTACTGTCTCACCTAGCAAGTAAGACCTCCAAATCTTCAACGCGAAGATCACTGCTCCCAACTCTAAGTCATGTGTAGGACGGTTACGCTCACTGCCCTGCCACTGTCTCGAAGCATATGCTATCACTCTGCCCTCCTGCATCAGCACACAACCAAGACCAATGCCTGAAGCATCTGTATACACCATGTAAGGCTTCCCTGGCTCGGGTAACGCCAACACTGGTGTAGTAGTCAACATCTCCTTGAGCTGACTAAAGCTCTCCTCACACTCAGCTGACCAAATAAAAGGGACATCCTTCCCGGTCAACTTCGTCATCGGCTGCGCCATGGTAGCAAACCCCTTGACGAACCTCCTGTAGTATCCTGCCAAACCCAGAAAACTCCTGATCTCGGTGGCACTACTAGGTCTAGGCCAATCTCTGATAGCCTCAATCTTAGCCGGATCCACAGAAACTCCCTCTGCAGAAACAATGTGGCCAAGAAATCCCATCTCTCGCTGCCAGAAACTGCACTTGCTCAACTTAGCAAAAAGCTTCTGCTCCCGAAGCTTCTCCAGAACCAACCTCAAGTGAGTCGCATGCTCCTCCTGACTCCTCGAGTATACCAGAATATCATCAATGAAAATGATGACAAACACGTCCAAATACTCCCTGAACACGTCGTTCATCAATCTCATGAAGGCTGCCGGCGCGTTAGTCAAACCGAAAGGCATAACCACAAACTCAAAATGCCCATAACGCGTCCTGAAAGCAGTCTTCCTGACATCTGCCTCATCTATCGGGATCTGATGATACCCCGATGCCAAGTCAATCTTGGAGAACCAAGTAGCACCCCTCAACTGATCCAACAACTCATCAATCCTCGGGAGTGGGTACCTGTTCTTCACAGTGACTCGGTTAAGACCTCTGTAATCGATACAAAGTCTGAAACTGCCATCCTTCTTCTTCACAAACAACACCGGTGCTCCCCACGGTGAAACACTTGGTCGAATGAACCCCTTAGACAAAAGGTCCTCTATCTGCTTCTTCAGCTCTGCCAACTCAGCTGGCGCCATCCTGTAAGGCGTCTTCGATATCGGTGCTGTCCCCGGCTCTAACTCAATCGTGAAAGGATCAGACCGAGATGGTGGTAATCCCTTCAGTGACTGAAAGACATCCTCAAAATCCTGGACAACCTCAATATCTCCCATAACAACTCCAGCTCCTGACTCAGACATAGAAATCGTCGCCAGATACGCCTCACAGCCCCGCTCTAACAACTGCTCGGCCTGAATAGCAGATATCACAATACTCCCGGAAGTCGGTCTCACTCCCTGATAAACCAACCTCCCTGCATCTCGCTCGAAGACCACTCTACCTCTGTAGCAATCCAGATGAACTCTGTAGTGTGACAACCAGTCCATCCCGAGAATAACGTCATACAGCTCCACCGGACTGATGACTAAGTCTGCTGGCATTGACTGCCCCGCAATCTCGATCTCGACTCCTCTAGCACGGCCCAAAGTAGACAAGAATCCACCTCCCGCCACCTTGACCATGCCCGCGCTCTCGCCCGCGCTACTCCGGATGCCACTCTTCTCGGCACGCTCCGGTGTAATGAAGCAATTCGATGCTCCAGAGTCGAATAAAACGTGGGACTCAAAACCGCCCACTAACAAGGTCATTACGAAACACATGCGTTGAGAACCTCAACAATTTATCACAGATAAATGAACAACACACACAACAACAACCATTATGCCCTCGATGGCCCGCCACCACAAATGTGCATCTCCACTCAGATAGTGGACTGCCAACTCAACCTGGTACTAAACCAATCTGATAGACTGGAAATTCCGCTCCAATCTCTGACGCCACTCGCCGCCTCTGGCTAACTCCGCCCTCAAAGTACGGCGTACCAATCCTCTGCATGTGCCCCAACATATCCAAATAGGACGGCACCATCAAACCCACAGCCTGCGGCTGAACAAATCCCGCAGCCCTCTGCTGCACCTCTGCCACTGGAGGTACTCCCGGAGCCCCTGTGGAACCACTGGCGGAAAACGAGCCAATAACTGCGTCAGCAAACCCACCACTAAGTCATCAAGACCCTGAGCCGGAGCACCACCCCAACCCGGAGCAGCCCCCGCTCCCAAACCAACACTCGCATCCACACTGGCCTCACTCGCCACGGATACCGACTGGGTCACCGACGCAATCGCCACACTAGGCACCACACTCTCTCCCGAATCCGCCGAAGTCCACAATCTCGGCCCCGGCCTCTCGCTCTGCCACCACGGCCTCGAGCACCGCGCCCTCTCGCGCCACAACCTCTAGCTACTCGTCCATCTCACTCATGGAACCAAAAGAGCACACTAGAACACGCAACCAAAACTCAAAACAAACATAAACTCACCGCGGAATCTCTTGTAGCTGAAGGGGATGATACTAAAGCCTAGCAATTCTAACAGTCCTAAAACCGTCTAGGCTCTGATACCAAAATGAAACAACCAACATTTTTTTTTTTTTAATAAATATTAATCAATTCTAGCGAAGGTCTTAAAAATAAATTAAATAAATAAAATATCAATAACAAATAAATCAGCTCAGCGGAAGCAAATAATAATTAAACAAGTCTAGCAAAATAATGCAAAACAATAAAACAGTAAACATCCTATCATCCCCCTCTTCAGCCTTGATTCCGCGATCACACAAATCTTTTACCTGCAACACATTGGAATGGAGTTGCGTAAGTATTTAATAAATACTTAGTGAGGCAATCACTCTGCCTACGAGCCATTTACGCAATTTACTAGATATTTAATAATATTTATAAACTCCAATAATTATTAAATACCATTTTCCAATTATTAAATAATTTTTAATAATTAAAACTCAATTTCTCAATTATTAAATAATTCTCATAATTAAATAATAATTTTCCATATTTTAAAATAATTAAAATAATACCAATTAATTAAATAAATATTATTTAATTAATTAAATCCGAATTAAATCTATTTAATTCCATTAAACCAATTAAATTCAATTAAACCAATTAAATTCAATTGAACCAAGATAAACCAGAATCAAATCAATTAAATTCAATTAAACCAATAAACCAGATTAAACCACACAAACACACAATTCATCACATGAACAACCAAAATATCATAAAAATAACAATTAAAAACATAAACTCATCAAGAACAACCACAAACCAAATCTAATCTAGCAAATCACGGACCCACAGTCATGCACTCACCTTGACAATGATTGAAACTGAAGGAAAAAGGAAGGACGATGAACAGTGCCGAATCGCGGATGAACAGTAACCCGTGAACAGTACCGATGAACAGTAACCCGTGAACAGTACCGATGAACAGTAACCCGATGAACAGTAAAATTCGAAAATCTCTCCAAAAACTCAACTTTTCTCCTCTACAGCATCTGAACTCGAAAATTCTCCAAAGAGAAGACGGCTGCACTCTTTAAACTTGATTTTAGGGCTTTCTCCACTAAACCGACCCAAACCAATTCACTTAAATTGAACCGACAAAATTCCCAATTTTTATTTTTGGTTTATGGATGTTACAGCCTTAGATATATATGTCTTGGTTTTATAATTATTATCTTAGCCTATTGTTGGGACTATATTTTTACATAGGAGTTTCAAAAATATTATTGTCTTATCATCTTATCGCATTATGCTATTTTTTACATTGGCCCGAGTTGGGACCGGAGAAATTTATTATCTTATAGTGTTTATTGTTTTATCGAGTATTGTTTTATAGAGGTTCTACTGTATGTAGAAATATAAATAAACATGTATTTAATAAAAATATATATATAAATTAATGCTTTTGTGCTGATGTGGACACTCTAAATGGAGAGAGCACTCCCTAATTATATATAAGATTGAATAAGAAGCTCAGTCATAATATAAATCAATATTTTTTAGTTGGTGTTTTAAATTATTAGAAGCTGAATCATAACATAAATCAACATTTTAAAAACAATATATGGAAAATAACCCAACTTTAATTGATGCAAAATATTAAAAACACAAAACATCATTAAATTGTCCAGTAAAATACTAAAATTAAACCCACACAAACCCTAGAAACAAAAAATGGCTTTTGAAAAGACATTAAAACCCAACAAAACTAAGACAACACTTTAAGATAGAAGTATCCAAATATGGGGTTTTCTTATTCGGGCTAAGAAAACCAAGCATGGGGTTTCGGCTTTCCGGCTATCGTTCGGTTTTGTGCAGCTTTTTAGATTTCGGGTCAGGTTTAAACATATAGAAACCGATCATATATTTATAAATCTCTGGTCAGAATTGGGGTAGGTATTTTTTTGGGATGTACACCAAATCCAAAAAAACTTGAATTGTTCTTTGGTTGTGTAAATTCGGGATTCTCGGTTTATTCTTGCCTTTTCAAATTTCTAGATTTTTTCAAGTTTTTCTGATTTTTTTAGGCTTGGCCGAATCCAAAATATCAACCATATCAAAATCAATTGAGTTTTTAGGCATAACCGAACCCTAACCAAACTGTTTTTTTTTTCTCAGGTTCATGTTTCGGGGAATAGCCCAACCCTACTATAAACTTAACTTCTTACACATACTATAATCATCGAGAGAACTACAAACAAAACCTATATGAATATAGTTGAAAAAAAAATTAACATGGCAATTACAAAAACAAACAAATATATGAAAACATTGAAGACACAAATATATGAATTTTCTCAATTTCTAATGCATTTAAAAAAATACATAAAAGTAATAATCATTTGGAACGAAGTGAAAGCTAGAAGAAAAGTACATCATCTTTTGGTAACAAATAAAATAAATTGTGAAGATATTTGTAACTCTGACACACATACAGTACAAAAGTTTTGCTTTATGTTAGAATTAAGGCATCGCACAATATCATCATAAAGGAATTGAAATACATGCTATCTTTTTTTAACAGAGTTGGCAAATTAATTTCATTGAAGTAGAGAACGACATAAAATTAAAAGTTTATGATGCTTCCAACTATTGTATGACTTTCATTCTTCTAAATTAACTCAAAAATCTAAGATATCTGATTAAGTAACTGAATAGGCTAGACTTTTACTTATCTTATATTTAATATCATTCACACTTTTTGCCAAGTCTATGTATAATGTAGGAATTGCAACCCAAAATATTTAAAAAAGATGAAATAAATCTCATAATAAAGTCGTCATGTCACTGGTGGAAGAAAAAAGACTCGAGAAACGAAAGAAATACTGCATCAGAGAGACTATCATATTATCTTTTTTTCTAAACAAGTAAATGAGAAAAAGTAACAACACCACCCGCTATTGTTAAGTAAAGAGTAATTGATAAAACTAAATGAACCTTACACCACTCACCCGCGGGCTTTAACCTAGTGTTAAGTAAAGAGTAATTGATAAAACTAAATGATTGTCCTAACTGCAGCAGGTGTAGTGTGCATAGTTATGCAAGAAATTACAGAGTTTCTAACAGAAGTAGCAAGAGATCGATTGAGGAGTTTGTTAACATGTTCGTGTTAATATTATGTCTGTTTTGGTCTGTGCCACATACAGAAACACTAAAAGATCACATTAGTACAATTTCCTTTACAGACGTATATTATTTCAAAAACTGTATTACCACAAGGTCGAGAAGATAGTCAAATAATGACTTAAATAAAACAAAAACATCAAAGACACACCCCCTATTCCTTAACCAGCAGCCGTAGCTATATTCTTTTTCTACAGTTTTAGTGAACCATTTCTACCATTCTAATACGCATGGAACCATTTGAGTTAAATTTAGGATGTGTAAAATGAAGCTAACTCTATATATGAATGAGAAGAAGCCTATCAAACAAACTTGTAATATCTGAGGATTCTTCATTTTCGAAAACCAATTCTTCTTCAAAGAATCTGGAGTAGGTTTTGACATAGTGGTTTTTACACTATGGAGTTGGAATGGAGAGAGAGGAGGGCATTTGTTCAGTTTCAGCCGCCAATGCTTCTTTTAACCCATGAAATTTGTTAGTACGAATGAAAGCTACATATGGCCATTAGGGAGTTCTCTTTATATTTCCTTACATTTATATATTCATATTTTAAATATTAACTTGAAATAATATATATTTATCTTTTTTATTCAAATGATTTATCTTATTTAAAAAATTGATAATCTGTTTACATTTTAAAAAGTTGAGTAAAAATTAATTAAGATAATAGAAAGCTAATGAGAAATTAGAGTTAGAGTTTTTTTAAAAACAAATAGAAGATGAGTTATTATATGTAAATTTAATTGTAGTGAAAAACATGAAAATTTTAAGAAATGTGATATGTTTGTTTCAAACAAAAAAAATTAATTTACAAAACTAACATATTAGAAAATAATCAATTGTCATGAGGCTCACATGTTACCACAGCAAAGTAGATATGTAAAAAAGTATACATATTTTTTTTTTTCATCTTATTTCGGGTGCAAATGCGATTTTACATTATGTTTACAAATTTTAAAGTTGAGAGTCAAATGCATATGCACGTTTATAGTCTAATAGAAGTAAACAAACATAACAAAAATATAAAAGTTTATAATTGTCTGATTACCCCCTGGCAATAGTCGGAAGACACTCAAAACTCAGGATAGGCAGTGTGGTAGTCCATATGATGAGTCCACTTTGTATCAGCTCGGTGCGTTCCTACCGGGGATAACCGAAAGCTGATAGGGTCTATCAAAAAAAAAAGGTAACACAAAACCATCATAAATCAAAACAACAAATATAAATTAAATGATATTTCCTAAACATAAAATTATGGGAAAGAACCCGCGCTTGCGCAGGTTTCCATCTTTCCTTTTAGAGTTTACCACTCTTCATAGCTTCTTGAACTTTCTTTAGTTTAGGGTCTTGCTCCCTGAGTTCCAGAGTCTACATTTCAAACCTAGTAAAGATTAATAACAAAATCAGTTCTATAAAAGAACACATTTCTCAAAATCTTATTAATCTTACAAAGGAATTACATACAAACAAAAGTAAAATTTAGAAAAAAGGCAAAGATTTACACAAATTTTCAGTCTACAATTATCTGGACGGTCACGATCACGTTTGATTTTCTTTTGAATTAAGATACAAACAAAAAAGCAGTGTTTGAGCCTGGTCCAACTCAAGAAACTTTGGTCAGTTTGCCCTCTGTGAAGGACACGGCGCGTTTGATGATTGATGATTGATGTCAATGTCAAAATGCAAATTAATGAATAACAGAAAATGTTTTCACTTTGAGCTCGTTTACATCAATTTGCGAATATGATTTGGACTATGTCACTGTATATGGTCGTCGATGGTAGCGCAAAATGAGAAGTGTAATTAATTTAATTGGTTCTTTTAATTGAGTCTAGATATATAAAAATTGATGGAACAAATGATATACCTACAATTTACAAACAGATATAATATTGCATAAATATCATATGATATAACTATTTGGCGCATCTTCCAAATACCAAGCTAGAATGATAACTTTGAAATAAAATTCAAAAATTACATTGTCATGGACAATTAAGCATTGATTACTTCCACAGAAAAAAGCAAAGAAATAAATAAATAAAAACATGATGCTTCCCATTGATCATATGAATCATGGTTGCTTTTTATCCATCTATCCACAACAGTCATTGGATTGCCTTTATTTCTATCATCTTTAGGTCCATCTACCCGCAAATGTGATAGGCATGGTTTTATTTTCCTGAATGTAAACTCCATCACTTTTAGCAATCCATAAACGGAGCTCATTATTACATGGAGGAACTCGAGGTGACATATTCAAGAAGAACCGAAGACG